GCCACCGCAGAGATTGATGGACCCAAAAGCCAGAGGACTTCAAAACTATTTGCCGCTTTTCCACACACGCAGAAAACTTTAGACAGGGGTTCAAACTTTTTAATGAAATGTTTTAATGACTTAACTTGTATGGATATAAAACAGAACACTCTAGTAAATTTATTAATCGAATGAATAACTAATTTTTTTTATATTTCATTTAATTAATATTTAATTTGATTATCTAATGTTACTTCTGGATTTCTAGAAAAATGTTTGTTAATTTCTAATCAGAAATAACTGATGTATCAAAACCTGTAATACTTAATTTCATAAATAAATAAACACATATATTACATTATATGTTACATTATATATTTTAATTTCAATAGTTAACGTACTTGTAAACAAAAATTAGATGCCCACCTAAATATTTTATATAGCTTATTATTTTTGTTCTGTGCATCGTCAAGCGAACTAATTGTTTGGTGTTTATGGGCAAAATCCATATAATCCATCAAAAAACATCTCAGACGTTTCGCGCTACGTGTTGCGGAATTTCAATGCGAGATCTGTGTGCAAATTTCCATTTTTTCGTCGTGAGATTTGAGGGAAGAAGGGCACGTGTGGGATGGCCAGAGATTGGGTTGTCATCGTTGTCATGGTTGAGTTTAAATTTTGGCTCTCTGAACTTGTGAGTCCGAAAAAAATCCTTTTTTCAAGTGGCTGGCAATTACGCTAAGGAATCTATTCCTCTAGTGCGAACTGGAACACGCCCAGTGGCAAAATTGTTGTGTGATTATGCAGCACGCTCTAATGGGATTACTTCTGGACTATATTTGGGATAATCGCTAACTCAAGAACTTAATTGGGAGGCAATGCATCGCTGGTGGTCGTTGAAAAGAACTAAAATAAACAAATTTTGGTGACGAAGGTGTTTTTGGGGAGGAACTGCTCAGAAGGTGGTTAAAATTATTATTGGATTATCGGATACAAGATGTTTTTATGCTACTTGAGAGAGTCCGAATGAATGTTGTCAAAATGGCGGGTATGGATCCTTCAAAGATATTTATTTAGTTGCTAGAAAGAATATTAATATAAAATATATATTTTGTAATTGAATAATTTAAAGTTTTGATTACTTTAAGTATGTAAAATTTGATTAATTTGAAATGATTGTTGGGATCTTTTTAAATTATTATACAGAGATAATATCTTATTAACCTATATACCTAAATTAACAAATTTTGGAAATACCTCAGGAAGAAGAAATAACCCAGTGCCGTGTCGTAAAAATTATTATTCTGATCCTGGATTTTCTCTTTCAGATAAGTCTGCCACATTTTAAGGAAAGGTGCAAAAAAAAGCAAAAGGGTTAAGATATTTTCCGCGACTTACCAATTGTCCAGGAGCCGCGCGTTCGCCTATTAGGCCCCATTTTTATTTTTTGATCACGTATACCCCTTTTTCCACCCGGCAGGTGGAATTCTAGGTCCGTTGGGCGAACAGGTCAGTGAAGAAAAGGAAAAAGGGAAGTCAGGGTCACGGATCGCGGGTCATAAACGCACAAAAACCAGCGAAAGCAGGCTCTAGGAATTCCCCGGGCGTCATAAAACCGTTTTGAATGATCGGAAAGTAGGGGAAAGAAGTCCCGCGGATCGCGGATCATCATCATGGAAAGGCAAAAAGGGAACTGCGGCGCCTACCTAAACCAGAGACCGGGGAATTCGAAACGCAGACACAGAGTTATCACATTTGGTATGTAACTACATTTATCACAACCTAATATGACAACTCAAATAACTTTTGCCTGGCGGAGTCGTCGTGGAGTCGCGAGTCCCGTGGAACTGCACTGCTGCCTTGATTTCTTCTGGCTGGCCGGCTTGTCACATTTGGCTTCGCTAATTGGAACATATTTTTATCCCCTTCGGCTCCCCAGATGATGAACGTTGCACGTTTGGCTGCGATTTATGCATCCTCTCCCCGAAAAATAAAGATATCAGCCAGGGAGCTGCATCATCTCTTGCCAAATAGTTTCAAAGAGTTTGCCTAGAAACCATCTATAAAAATATTGAGGTAAGTACCAAGTATTGAGAAGATTTGTTCAATATCTATAAAATCGTTTATAAAATATGCATTTATTAAAAATGTATACTTTTAGGTTTTATTACCAATACTATATTATTAAATTTATTTATAAAGATTTCAGTTTAAATAACCGACTACTTCTAAAATATGCCTTGTCTTTCTATTTAGATTTGGCTTAAGTTAGGTTAAGATTTCTCGTTTTTTTTATTTTGTTTGGGGAAAAGGGCAGTGTGTGGGCGATTTTCACCCGAGGGTCTTGCATCAATAATTCATAACGCTAATTAATAACGCCCCAGTTCAAATGCGTTGCGTGCGCCGCGAGATGAAAGGCCCAAAATGCCGACATAACAGGATAATGAACCCCAAAAAGTTTGGGCCTTATTGAAATTCAAATAAATCGGTAACGCTGAACGACGCCTGCAACGTTTTGCTGTTTTGATTGCCTTGTTCTGTTCGATGTCCTAACTTTTGGGGTATTTTTATTATACAAGGATGTTGGGAAATTATTTTATTCGATTTATGTATAAAACTGTAGCTCTAAATCTTTACAAAATATACAACTGTAAAATACATTTATAAATTTTTCCGACTGACAGTTTATTTAGTGTTTAAATATATAAAAACAGAACCGTCTTTGGTTTTTTTCTGGCTGCTTTACAAAATTTTTTTAATTAATTCAAATCAAAGCTAGATACTTTTTTCTACAAAAGTATATTATTTTTATATAATTCAAAAATTCCAATAGTTTTGTGTACAAAAACATATACATACATCATTTTTTAAATGAATATGAGACTGCCAAAATTTATGTATATATTTTTCTAAGGGTATTTAAAACTTCGTCTTTTCCTTTCCCAAATTCTGTGTTGTATTATTTAGTTTGGCTTTCCTTGTTGGTTGTTCTCCTCTTAATTTTTTTTGTTGGCTATCGGGGCGTTTGCATCGCGCCTAAGGTGTAAAAATAAATGTTTCAAGTAACAACTTCTTAAAGAGCTGAATTATGAGCTAAGCTGCGACTGGAAATGTGGACTCGAGCCATCAATCTGCGGTCCTGAGTCCTCGAAACCTCGGACGAGCCTATAATTTGGTCAAATATCTGGGGCCTGATTGATGCAGGCGGCTGTTTTTTTGTTTTATGTGCCACAATGTTGCTGGCGTGGCGCGTCGAGAAATCTATAAAACAACATTTTTAATTCATGCCCAAAATAAAAAAAATTCTAAAATCGAAAGCAGCTGAAAAAATTGCTTGTTTTTTTCTTTCTTAAAGTGCCAGAGGAAAGGTGAAAGTTCTTCCGGCGCTGAGCGTTAAGCCTTGCCTACAGTATCCCAAAATCCAAAGTATGGTATCCCAGAGGAACCCATTTCCATGATCCGAAACAATTGCATTGAGTTGTCAAGTGTCAGCGTTGACATTGAAAGAAAGGATCCCCGATGCCCGATCCCTTTTCACTTCCTTTGGAGCATCCAGCGATCGCAAGGACAATGCGGTCCTTTGTCCGCGATGCCCTTTAATGTGTCAAAATATAGTCTATAGATGCATTCTCCCAGGCGTTTGTTTTTCTAATGCAAAGTGATTTATTGTCTGGCCAGAAGAGGTTTTATTCCAACGATCTGACATCTTGGTGCGTGGGAGCGAAGGATTTGGTTTATTGTGTGGGTCGGAAGGCTTTTGCTTTTTTTCTACTTTCCAGAAATAGAAAGTGCCCAAAAGTGGTGCACAGAACTATATTATAAAGCCATCAATTTGTAGGGAAAACACTCGAAACAATGGTTAAGTAGGAGAAATGCCAAGAGCCTTGCTCTTTTCAATAGTGAAAAAATGGAAATTATAATACATGAAATGGTGATCGGATTATAAAAAAATATTCTTCTTGAGATTATAATTCTGTTATTACGGGCTTTGCAAATACCTAAGACTAAGGAGTCCTTGGTTAAATAAGTTTCCAAACACTTATAATATTCATTTTTTGTTTGACGGTTTTTTTTTATTAATTTATTTTTTTATGTATATATTATTATATATTGAGTTCAAAGTAATATTGCATATATCAAACAAACCTTCTTTACTATTTGTTTTTTTTAGGTATTGCTTAAATAAATGTGCTTACTTGTATCTATCTACTTTCGTAACTTCCTTTACTCTCCGGTAAAAACAGAAAATGCTTATCAATTAGACGTGTAGAAATTCTTTTTTTTTTTTTCTTAAATACATTTTTATTTTTTTTATTTAGATAAGTTAGATTATTTTCCGGGGAATTCCCGCACTTGTCCTTGACCATATTTCCAGCTATTTCTGCATTCCACATTTCCGCTTCTGACTTTAGAATTCATTTGAACTAGCATGTATAGCAGAAATGTTTGCCCTTAGTCAATTGAGATAAAATTTTGCCGACGCTACTCCCCCAACTTTTCTTGTAATTTGCTGCTTGTAATTTTCAACTTGTATAGCACGTGGCAATTGGGCGGTACTACTGTATGCTATCGATAATGTAACTGAACGTACCTGCGGCAATTTGAATTTCTCTGGGCTACCTAAAGAAAAGGGAAACCAGAGGCCCACTGATCAGGGTTTGGTATGGTATTATTTGGGATTAGTATTAACGCTTTACGATTCCTTCGAGTGAATCATATGAAACTCATGCCCAGCAATCTGTGCCCGCACATTTTACCCCAGGTTCCACGTAATGCCACCTTTTGGATCCATGCGAAATGCAGTTAAAGTGCAAGTGCTACCCGCATATGTTACCAACTTGATTACAAGCGGGCTCCCCTTTTGAGAATAATAACAGAGAACATGATTCCTTTACTTCTTATGATATTCGCTTTATTTCTTCGTCAAACAACTAATTAACATTTAATTGTATTTGCAAAAAAAAAATGTTGTTTTCGTTTTTAACTATAATTATTTTATAAATATATATTTGATACTGGTGTCTTGGTTCTTAACTTTTACAAAAAAAAAATTAACTTATAATAGGAAAAAAATTTGTGTGTGTGTGTGTGTGTTGTTGGGTTTTTTCTTTTAACATGAGTGTGTTATTTACAATTTGAGGCACTTGGTTCAACTCAACATTGACTAGAAGAGAACAGGAGGATGTGGTGGGGGGAATGCGTCAGGATCGGATCCTTGCGATTGATTCACTGCCCCTGCCACAGATCGATGTAATCCAGGATCTCCTCGTCGTCGGGCGTGCAGTCCTCCTCGTCCAATTGAAAGTGTTCGTAGGGCTCGAATTTCAGATTGAGCTGCGAATGCGAATGCGTATGTCCTTCATTGTCGAGATGATCGAGGTGATCCAAATGATTGGAGAGTTGCTGGGGCGCCGCCTCATAGGTGCCCGAATCGAAGGACATGCTGGAGTTGAAGGAGGATGTGGGCGAGTGGCAGGTTTGTTGCTGATTACCACCTCCACCACCGGCGTTGTTACCATTTCCGCCTGGCAAGGATGTGGCCACCAAATTACTGTTCAGCGAGATGGCCGTCAGCGGTTGGTGGTTGAACTGTTGCCTCTGCAATTGCTGCTGCTGCTGGAGAGGATTGGCATTCTGATAGTAGGCGGTGTTGTGGCCCGAGGAACTGCAAGTGCTGCTGCTGGAACTGTGACTGCTCGACTCGTCCAAACAGAGCTGCAGTTGGCTGACCACATTGCTGGTAGTGCTGCTGCCACCGCTGCCGCTGCCCCCATTCAAATCGTCCACCAAGTCCTGAAGCCTTCGTATATACTCGACGGCAATGCGCAGTGTGTCCACCTTGGAGATCTTTTTGTGGGGCCCTCGACCACCGCCCTTGGTCAGATCGGAGATGATGGACTGCGGGATGTGCTGGCGCAATCTGGCGAAGCTGTTGTTCACCTGTTTCACCCGGTTGCGCTCCCGAGCATTGCGTCTTTGCACAGACTGCGATTGGTCCACATTGTAAGGAGCCGGCGACAGAGAGCCGCCTGGCGATAGAGATGATACCGACTCGGAGGAGGATCTGGCCAGTGCCATGCCCCTTGGCGTATACTTGCGCGTCTTGATCGGCATTGCGGCAGATGGATTTGCTGAACTTGGCTGGTTCTGATTGCCGGGATTCGACGGAATGGGTGCCGGCATTATGTGCTGATAGCGAAAGATCTTCGTGGCCGTGCTGATGGTGGTGGGAAATAGATCGTGATTCGTCGTGGTGGTCAGCACACTCGATGACATGGTTATGAATTATCTTATTGGGTTTTCTTTTTTTTGCACACACAATATCTCGGGTTTTCGTTTCTCAGACGAGTGCGATCAACAGAAAAAAATATATATCAAGTGAGGAGAGGAGAAGGCTTGAACTTGATCGTTTGACACCTTGCACAAGAATGAGTCCCTTCGTCCTAAACCCTCACGTTATGTACCCTTCAAGCTAGAGAGTTGCTCAAAAACCAGGCAGAGAAACCGGCGAGAGAATTGGAGCGAAATGCGAGAGCGAGAGAGGTTACCTGTGCAGGTAGCCATACGAAAATTGAGTGAGCTACAGGTAGTCAGAGCGAGAGCTCTTCCTCTCAGGTACTCAAAAATCCCCCAGGAAAACTGTTCCCATTAGAGAGGAGGCCAGAACCACTCAAAATAAATACTCAAACTCAAAACTCAACTCAATACAACTCGACTCAACTCAAAAAAAAAAAAAAAGAACAACAACAAAAGCAACGATCAACTGCATTTGTGAGTGTTCTTTTCGCTGCGGCATGCCAGCAATTTGATTTCCGTGTTAATTAACTTAGCAAAAGTCGCGATCGCCAATTTCATGTGCAACTCACGCACGCCCCTATTCATTAGCGCCGGACGGATCCAAAGAGATCCCCACGAGATGCCCAGATCCACCTTATTAGCCATGCAGAGTCAGGCTCTCGAAGGTGTTCGAACAATTTCACATATTCCTCTAATTAAATGATCAAAAGGATCACGGGTTTTTCACCCAAAACACGCCACACAAACGCAGTCTTTCGAGATGTGACAAAAGTTTTGGATGGCACTTTACAGTGTATATTGGGGTTTTAAAAATCTGTAATAAGGAGCCGTTAGATTTATCACAAATATTTTGAAATTAAATTTTTTAATAAATTTATTATCTTATTTATTTATTGAAATCTTGCCCTTTTTGGTAGTGACAGACTTGATTTCCGGAAATTGTTAGTTCCGAGTGGCCACTGTATCGACGCATTGGTCATCATCAGCCATTGACGATCGTGCTAAACGCCGACTGAGAATTGCAACTTCCGCTCGGTTCACAAAAGTCGCTTCATTTTGTCACGATCATCAATCGATGAGTGCGAGTGAAAGGAAGAGAGTGGGAAAGAGAGAGAGAGAGAGAGAGGGAGATGAAGAATCGGTGGCCAGGTGTAAGTTATATTTTTATTGTCCTCAACTCGTTCCCTTTGTTTGCTTCAGCCAGCATTTTCCTTTTGCCAAAAACCATCATTATCAGCAGTGGCAATTCTCCATTTCCATTTGCCAAATCCCCGATGCCGACGCCGAATTCAAAATCAAAATCAAAAACCGAAACCAAAGCGAAAACCGAAACCAAAAACCGAATAACCAAAAACCAAAAACCTTTTCAACCATGACCAGCAAACGGCGCTACTCTGTGTACTTTCCATATATCCTTTGACAATTTCCATTACCTTTTTTGCATGCTGCACTTTGTTGTTTGGAATCTCTACTCTTTCTTTTTTTTGCATTGTAATGTCGGGATCGGTAGTAGTTGGTTTCCATTATTTTGGCATCATTAACACGTGTATTGTTCCCGAGTGTCGCTGAATTTTTGGCAACCCAACTTTCTATTCAAAATTTTCGCATTTCCCCAGGTTCCATTGTGGCATTGGCATTTTTGATAAATGCTGCGAGAAAAACCAGGAGAAATGCTGGTGAAATGCCCAGAATAGGGTTGAAGTCCTGCGTCCTTTGTGGACTGGATGATCTATTGTGTCTGCCGATATTTGACTGAAGTGGAATGCATTTGCGCAATGATTGATAGTTTTGATTTTTTCTGAAGTGGCAGCTCTACCGATCGAACAGATCGGCAAGATCGTGTGTTCTTCCTTTTGTTTCAGCACCTTTGATCGGTCAAAAGTCAGATCCTGACCAAAGCCAAAGCGCTCACATGTAAATCGCACTCGTGCCAGTTGATCTTTAGCCCCGATCATTATCCGGCGATCGTATCGGATTCTACCTGATCTTTTGTAATCTTTTCGTTTTCGGGATAGTCTGAAGATCTTGCCAGAATAATGATCAACAGTAGCCCCAGATCATCTATCGTTCGAAAAAATCACTTGGATCTTGCGATCTTTTGGAGAGGAATTTACTTTAGCTTTGGTAATCTCAAAAAGGAAACTATATTTTAGTTTGGTTATCATACTCTGCTATTTTTCCAAATTGAACGAAATTTAAAAAATTAAACTTTACTGATGGCCTTAAAATATTATTTATTAATTTATGTTATTTATTTAATTTATGCATGCATGTTTTGTAAATTGTTTTCATTATCTTTTTCAACTTATAACCTTTTTCCAAATCTACTCCCCTTTTTATTTCGGATGATTTTCAAATAGTATTATTTATGTTAACTGCGATCTGAATGTTTAAAAGTTGTAATCCAGTTGGTAATTCCGCTGAAAAACAACCCGAAACCTTTTGCCAGTGATAACCTGTAACATCGGCGTTGTCTCGACAACACTGGTAAACAACTTTTTTTGGGCCAATTTATTTGTTTATATCCTTTTTGGCCGGACCTGCAACGCTTGGAAGATTTAAATGCGTAATTACTTTGATATGAAGCATAGTTCCGGGCCGCGAAAACGGGAAACGGAAAGGACCTGAAGGTGCGAGCGAGACGGTGAGCAGGGCGCGTGCGTTAATTGCGTGCGAGCAGGATGGGGCGATGCAGGATATATGTACTATACCCGCTATATATATTTATATATCCTGATCGGCGGGGCGACTCGTGCGTTTTTCCAACGAAACTTGAAATGCAAAAATGAATGTTGAATGTTAATTGAAACGAGTTCCCGTTGCCAGGACCTGCAGAAGAGCGCAGGAGATCGTCGGTCAGAGAGAGACAGGGAGATATGGTGAGGGATATATAGACTCTCCACGTGCCGTGTCTGTTTTCTACACTGTACAAAAATATCTATATTCCTCGTAGTCCTTTTTGCTATTTAGCTTCAAAATGATAAAGGGAGTACGTATTTGTTGAATAATTTTTGTTAATATTTCTTAAAGTAATATTAAACAATGAAGCCTAACTTATTCTATATAAATAAACATATAATTTGTTTACAATGTTTTAATACAAAAATTCGTATTTTTAAAACCAGAATTTTTAAAACAATAATGACAGTAGATAAAAGTAGTTATTTGCAGCGTTTGCTTTCTAACAATGTGTTTTAACATTTATAAAGTCTTATATATACTTTCATATGTTGAGAAATGTTAAACTGCTTGGAAATACTTAGTATACTTAGATAACAACATTTTAGCAACGAATTTTCTTGAATTATAAAGTGGAATTTTATATTTAAAGAAAGTTTATTGTAAAATTGTTGGTTTCTAAAAATATCTATTTTTGGGTAGTGCAGTCAGCGCAGCGTTGTTGTCGCTTTTTTTTCCACATTTGGCTCAGTCATTTTCGTAGTTAATATTTTAATTAAATGCAGGAGCAGGAGCAGGACTCGCTCCCTTTGCACCCCTTAAAACTCCTTTGGAGTTCTGGGCTATGGCGACGCGTGGCAGGTGTATTCAAGCCAACGAATTGGGATCGCGAAGGGAAAAACACTGGGGAATGGGGAAGTGGACGGGGCTTAGACAACCAACCTCACTACCTCGATTTCTACCTTTCTTTCTCCGCTGCTGCTGCTGTTGCTGTTGCTGCTGCTGCTGCTGGTGGTTCTGCTGATGCAGCTGGAAAATAAACGAGCGCAGCACACCACACAAATAAAATGGAAACACACGCTCTCGTTTGCTAGGGGTTGCTGCTTCTTTAGCCCCGAGATGCATTTCCAGTACACCGCGTCGACGCCACAAAATAGGGGAGCCAAAGTCAAAGTCAATGCCAGAAGATATAAAAGGCCGGCATGGATGTGGATGTCGATGTGGATGTAGAGATACTAAGATACAGAGATACCGCGCCAACGGCGCATTGAACTTTGCACGGCCCAAAAGTTCAGCTTCTTCAGCTCGTCATGCCAAATCAAACAACAAGGAGATCGGATTTGGCTTATTTTTGTTTTTGGCTTTGACGGTAGGGTAGTTTGACTTGGCCATAACGCTTGTTCAAAAACAACAGAAATATATAACTGCAATATTAGGGATTGGTTTTGCCGCAGCTGTTTTGTGGACGAGCCACTCCCACACACAAGTTGTAAAACATAAAATACATAGTTTGCACCGATGATAGGGAGTGACTTTTTCTAGAAACATAATACAACATTAATTATATTTTTGCCGAACAAAAATAGATTGTTACTATACATATATAAATTTGATCATTAAGCGTTGTAATAGTTGTTGCTGTGCTATTTATGATACTTTAAAAAAAAAAACCTTGTCCGGAAATTACCAACATGCAACAAATCGTAGCCGTTCCTAGTTAATGATTAACTATACATTTTTTTTGTACACCATCTTAATATATTTATTTTTCTAAAATATATATACATATATAACAATCTTAAGTCTTAAAGCTTTAGTTTAACAAAGTTTAAGGGCATTCAAAGTTCGAATTGGAAAGGCGGCATTTGTTATCCTTAGGGGTTTGCTTTATGAGTAGTCGCGGGCCAAAAGAGCCAAGCTAAGACCTTTGAGATCCAGACGAGGTTCGATAGACGGACGCCTGATAACTATCATTACTCGCCGAGGAGTGTGTTTTGCTTTGTCCGTGTGGATTCGACTCCATTTCGTTCGCTTTGCCACGTTTCCTACCCAGTCTCGTCTTTCTGCGGTCTCGCACTGGATGATCGTTGGACCCTGGGATAATGATAATGATGATCATGATCATGGTCATGATCGTGATCAGTTCGATCCGGAGGGAAAGAGAGGGAGCTAAGCAAAAAGGCAGTAGCACGCACCATTAGATGCGGTCAACATGGAAACATCTGCTCTTTTGGGGTCAAAAACAATGAATGAGCGATAGAGACGGCTGATGGGCAACAGAAAGAGATGGTAAAATGAATGTGGCGTGCGCCATTTTTTTGTTTCGAAATGAAAAGTGTTTTGGAGTTCTACGATCGCTTCAGATTCAGATCCCCACAACATATCCCTATCCCCATGCAAATGAAGCCATTTGGTCAGGCATATTTACGG